CAGAACAGGAGCTATAAGAACAGGAGCTATCAGAACAGGAGCTATAAGAACAGGAGCTATAAGAACAGGAGCTAACAGAACAGGAGCTATAAGAACAGGAGCTATCAGAACAGGAGCTATAAGAACAGGAGCTATAAGAAGAGGAGCTAACAGAAAAGGAGCTATAGCAACTTACAGTTCGTGCTCGGAGCAGCTGAGATGTGTGCGACTGGAGTCCATCGCTGTAATGTTTCATCTCCACTAAGCGTCTGAGAATGAGACATTAAAAACATTGAAATCCCATTTCCTGGCTAACCCACCTCTTTGACATGTCTATTTATTCAGTGTTACAGTGATGACGCTTCATCTGCTCCAGCTATCCTGGACAAAGAGAGGAGCACTCTGACCCCTGTCCATGTTCCAGATGTTCTGATTAGCACCATGAAGCTGCTGTATGCTACCTTAGGAGCCTCTGAAGGTAGCTGCCTCTGCTGCTGTGATTGGCTAACAGCTCAACATAGAGGCAGATGCTGCCTGGTGAATTATCCAATCAGCTTGGAGAATTCTACGGAATGCCCCTCCCTTTATGAAGACTGTCCACATGTCTGCTGTGTAGAATAGCATATAGGTCAAAGCCAAGGCCCGTTGGCCGAATTATCCACGGCCCCCTGGATGATATTTAATGACCATTAGAACCGGCGCACAGGCCAAGGCCACCTGTGTGCGCTGCTGTGACTTTGCAGGCTACCATTGCATTGTGGGGAATGTAGTGTTGGTGCGGTTGTGTTGCACGCACCAACACTTTATTTCCAGGGGAAAACATGATTGTGTTTTTCTTTTATTTACTTTTTTTTTTGTGCTTTGCATGTTTGGATTATCTTGGTTTTACTTTTCCCTCTTTAACAATCCAAGCTGGGCTTGTCTGAGGAGGCGGAGTGAGTACTCTGTACTCTGTAGTCTTTGTGGTTATTCTGTACTTTTTGATATTGCTCTGCTTTTTATTTAATAAATTCCTTTTTTAAAGAACCTCTGGCTGAATTCTGGGTCCGCTGCTGTGATTTGTCTTTGAAGAAAGTATTGTTTTGTCTGGGGAACATAGATTTCTGTATTTTATTTTATTTATTCATATTTTTTTTTTTAGTTGAATGGACTCAGGGGAAAATGCAGATAAGAGCCACGAAAGAAATACATCTTATTTGATTTTTTTTCTTATTTTACTATTTGAAAGCAGTGATGGGTTGGATCATAGAGCAGCACAGTAATGCATTTTCTGTTTATAATGCATGCATGTTTATTTATATATTTACCTTAATATGTTTATTGATATAATAAAAGTGTATTAATAACATTGATAGTATTTTGTTTTTAAAAACCAATGTGTTGGGTCTTGGTTCAATATGCTATGTTCATTTCAATGTGATTTAATAAACTTCTAACCAGTCCGGCTCTCAGCTTGGAGCAAATTGGTGTTTTTGTCTTTGACATCCCTGAACTAATGGATCTATCAGGTTCATGCCAGGTTAGAAATGACGCCCCCTGCTGGAAAACTCCCACTCTGCCCATCAGTTCATGGTGACTGGTTGAGTTTAGAGCCACTGCTCTGCTATGAAGGATAGACCTAAAGCTGCTGTTGTCTCTGCCTCCACGGATGGATTGATGCACAGATCTGTAAACATTCATGGAGAGTTGAGTTGATAGTGTTGGACTTACTTATGGGGACTCCTCACCCTGAAGGTGGCGTTTAAAGCTCTAAGCCTGGAATCTGCCTGCAGAGGAGATGTGGGGAAATGTTTCAGGACAAAGACGATAACCAAAGGATTGAGAGACGAGCTCCACTCCGGTACCTTTGCCTGAAATCCCGTCTCAAACACCATCTCCTTCCAGCCGTGCTCCTGCACAGAGGGAACCAGGAGGCACATCACGGCTACAGGCGCTCATACTAAAGATCTACATTCCTTACCTTGGTGAGGAAGTGGTAGAGCATCTCTTCATTGGAGAGAACTGGATGGGAGGCCACACGCAGCAGGAAGTTCTCCAGGCCGATTCTGCGCCGCTCCACAAAGTCCGGATCCATGTTGTCTGCAGAAAGCTTGTGCCACACAAACTCTGCCTGCAAGCAGAGACACGGAAATATTAGAGTATGTTGGAGTTTTATTCCACCGGGAAGAATAAAGGAGCGCCTCAAACCTGAACCGTTTATGGCAACATCTGGTGATTTTAATCACGTTTCACCAGAGGCGTAGCCAGGAAATGTTAATAAGGCTGTCCATGCAGTAACCAATGAACACTGGGGGGGGGGCGCATATATTTAAACATCCATGCTGTGTAAATTAAAGGTGTAGTGGACAAAATTCTTTAAAGTTTGTGTTCTGGGGTGAACATCTTATTAATTGTCAATCTTTATTTACCTACTTTTATTAATAATCATTCTGCATAAAATTTATATTTACATGTTCTAATATCTACATTAGATGGATTACTTTTTATTTAAATGGTTATTTATCTCTATTTCAGTAAAGACTCTTAGATGACTTGCAAAGACATAATTTTCTCTTTACCTAATAAAGACAAAATCTAGTTCTAAATAAAGCATGAATTCTGTATTTATCATCTTTAATGTTAGTCTATTGATGTGCATCATCAACCACAGCATTTTGGTTGTCAAATAACTGTTTACATATAAAAAAATTTAAATGTTAAATAAGTTAAAACATTCAACAAGTATTACTGCTGCCACTGTCTGTATTAGAGAGAGAAAAATGGTAGGGGGCCAATGATTGGCAAAGGGTGGCCATGGCCCCCCATCTAGCTCCGCCCCTGCATCTCTCTACCTACAACCAGCTGCTGAATCAGAGAAAACAAAACTTTGGACTGAAATAAGACTGAGAAAATATTTAGATCAGGAAATATAGAAGTTCTTAAGGTAAAAAAAAACCAAATTTGAATAATTAGAAAATATTATACAGGGTGGAAAAAATGTTTAAGAAATATAAAAAAAAATAGGAAAGAAAATACAACATTTCAGTAAAAAATACTAAATACTGAATGTTCAAATAAAAAATTTGAGAAGAATTGTGAAGATAAAATAAGACAGCCAAACTTTTTTACTTTATAGACATGAAGGAGTCTATTTTCCAAATGATTTGACCTTTTCTTTTTCCATGGAAACAAAAAGGGTAACTGATAATGATAAAAATTAAGCCAGTGGAAAAATCATGGAAAAGATTATGATTATATATATATATATATATATATATATATATATATATATATATATATATATATATATATACATACATATACAGTCATGGCCAAAAATATTGAGAATGACACAAATATTCTATTTTCACATGATCTGCTGCCCTCTGGTTTTCATGAGTGCATGTCAGATGTTGTCATTGCATACAGATATACAATTGCAATCATATGAGTAACAGAAGCTTTTAATGACAGTTAGAATGAGTTAATGCAGCAAGTGAATATTTGCAGTGTTGATCCCTCTTCTTCAGGACCTCTGCTATTCTCCCTGTCATGCTCTCAATCAACTTCTGGACCAAATCCTGACTGATAGCAGTCCATTCTTGCACAATCAATGCTTGCATTGTGTCAGAATTCCCAGGTTTTCGTTTGTCCACCCGTCTCTTCATGAATGAATGAAGAGACGACAGGATTAAGATCAGGGGAGTTTCCAGGCCATGGACCCAACATCTCTCTGTTTGGTTCCCTGAGCCAGTTAGATATCAGCTTTGCTTTATGGCAAGGTGCTCCATCACGCTGGAAAAGGCATTGTTCATCACCAAACTGCTGTTGGTCGGCTGCGAGAAGTTGCTTTTGGAGGACATTCTGGTTCTTTATTCATGGCTGTGTTTTTAGGTCAAACTGTGA